GGACATTATGAAAGCTTTAACAACAATTATTTTAAACTCACCTCAATCAAATCAGAAATCACTAGCAATTTCATTAAAAAAACATTTGGAGAGCTTCGAGTTTGTGTTTGAAGTTGTGTTACACACTCTAATCCTTGAGTCAACAAACCTGGTATCAAGTAAACTTCAAAGAGAAGACACGGACCTACAGAAGGCAACCAAGCTATTAAATGACTCAAAAAGTGAACTGGTAAATATTAGAAATAACTATGACGCAGCAGTTGTTACAGCAACAGCAATTGCTCAACAGTGGGGAATTGAGACCAAATTTAAAGACAAGAGACGCCAAAAAGTAAAAAAACATTTCGACGAACTAGCAGAGGATGAACGCCTTACGAATCCTGACCGTTATTTTAAAACCGTTATATATAATACAACTTTAGATACGGTAATAAACCAAATCACGTCAAGATTTGAGGGTATGAACAAAGTCAGTAGTTTGTTTTCTTTTCTCACCCCGGAGTATTTATCGTCGTCTATGGACGAACAGCTAAATCTGAAATCAACAGAATTAGCTGCTGAATATAAAGATTATTTTACTTCAGATTTTCCTCACCAAATTCTTAGTTTTGGAAGGACTTTGAAAACAGAAATCGTAAAAAAGAAATCAGTAAAAGAAATTTGCGAACTTTTGTTGATTGAGTATTATTCTGTTGCTTGCAGCGTCCCAGACGTGTGCACAGCATACATTTTGATTTTGACATTACCAGTAACGGTTGCTTCAGCTGAAAGGTCGTTTTCTAAGTTAAAGTTGATAAAAAAACTATCTAAGAAGTATCATGTGTCAAGAAAGACTTAGTGGACTTAGCATACTAAGTATAGATAGCGAAACGGCTAGGAATATTGATTTAAAAGAGGTGATAAAAGCATTTGCTTCGCAAAACTCCGTACGAATTAGCAAGTTTAAGTGAAGAAGAATCAAGAACTTGAGCTTGAGACATTTCGTTTGAAATTATTTTGTTAACCTTGTTTTATTCAAGAGTCATTTTGGTATTCAAACACAAAACAAGTTACAGTATTTGTAAATGTTGTAAGTTAGATAATTAAATCTAAGAATTTATTAATTTTGATAGTACATTGTTAACAATTTTCAATAACCAAATAATAATTTCACATTTTGGTTTTGCCCTAATATTAATTAGTTAAACACAAATTTTTGATTTTGCTACTCTATTTAGCCAACTGTTTTTTTTTTCATTTTTTAGGCCTACCTCACAATTCATTAATACTAAAGAATTGTTGTATTGCATTGTTTTAATCAAGAGTCATTTACTTCAATTTTGATTTGATTCAAGTATATCAATCAAGTTAATTAAATTGTAAGTTAATCTATTAAAATCCATGAATTTATCCATTTTTATAGTACATTTTTAAAAATTTTCTACAAGCAAATAATTACTTTACATTTTGTTTTTGCCCTAATATTGATTGTGTTCAGTTAAATACAACATTTTGCTACTCTACTGACTTTGTTTGTTACTTATTTTTCCTCACAATACAAATATTTGTATATTTGTACAATATATTTGTAATCCTAGGTGAGGTCAATACTTGAAATTCATACAAAGATAAAATAAAAAATGCAATATTTTATTCTGTGCTTAAAAGCTGGTCATTTTTTAATTAACCAACTTAAAGTGTATGAGTTAATCATAAAAATTTACGAAAACTAACCGAATAAATAATTTATTATAAAATGTATATATCAAACTTCAATGATCTAAAACAATCTGATATGGATTTAAAAAATATGTATTTTTATTTATTTTATAATCACCGATATTGATAGGTATAGGTAATGATGTAGTGATGTAACTTTATCATCAAACCATGACTGACTGAAATACTTAACAGGCCCTTTAATGGAGCATTAATTACCCATATTGTTTTCACTACTCTATTTATGACGTAATAGTTTGATGATCGTATCGGTGGTCCAAAAATAACTTTGGAGGGGAGGGGAGGGTAGGGCGTTTGATTGTGTTGTACCGGTGGTCTAAAAATAACTCGAGGGGGGGCCCGAAACATATGTTTGCAGGGGGGCCCGAAAAAATCTGTTACGCCACTGTAAGAGCTATCTCTGGGCAGAATAAAAGTAGGTATAGTTAAAATTTAGTTTGTAAATTGAATTAAAACACAAATAAAAGTGTAAACCATGTTAGTTCAATTTTTAAAACTGTACCTGTACATATATCTCATAGTTTTAATTTCAAACCTATTAATCCTGATCCAACAATTTTTTTATCAGTTCAAATGTGTAAAGATTATTCCAAAAAATGTATACATTGCAATGATCTTTTTGTTTCCATGAAAATAAATATATTTTCATAAATATTTTAATCAAACTATTCTCATAATCATAAAACTTAAGAATCTTGGGAGCAGAACCTGTACCTCTTAACCTCTGCTGTTTGAACTGTCAAATTATATAGTATTTACAACTGACTTCAATTAATATTTTTTACTATTTACATTCTTCCAAAATGTAAACATTAAAACTTTGGAAGCCCATGGGGCGTAGCCCAAGGGAAATATGACAGGAATATGCCTGTAAGTTAACCAGGTATATAAGCTACCTTCATACAAAATTTTATTTCAATCGTTTCAGTGGTTCTTGCGTTATAAAGTAACAGACAGACTCACACACACACACACACACAAACACACACCATCTCATTTTTATATATTAGTATAGATAATACTTTGATAAAGTTTTTTATCTTTAAATATTTAACATTGGAGAATTTAAACGTTGTTGAGTGCACAGTTGTGCTGCGATTGGGGTTTAATATATTTGGACTTATTCAAAAGTAAGATAGTTTTCTACGCTGCACTCTGTAGAAACATTGTGGCACTATTTCAAATCATGACTAATACATAATGTTGTGATTATTCAAACCTACAAAACAGTTGGTGAAAGTAAACATGGGCCGAAATCTTACCATGCCACCCACGGTAACATCTACTTCCCTATAGGGAAATTCGCTAATAAAAAATTACCGCCATTCTGTAATGGGTTAAGATAAGAGGACCTGTAATGGACCTCTGGTTTTTTCAATATTCTTTTACACTAATGGTCTTAAAAACGACGGGCTATTTGATAGGGGTTGCTATTTAAAAAGTTGAAGTTACGCCCAGCAACCCTTATTTGGGGGGGGGGGTGAATTTCAAAATACCCCTAAAAGTACTTTACTTTACCCTAGAACGTGTATTGAAGCTTGTTTGAATATATGGATCCGTTCAAAAACTAGCCAGGCAGGGACTATTATGTAACACCCGGTTCATAAGGATTACTAGGGTAATCATGCAAATTACAATCCAACTAATATATTTAAGGCATTTTGTTTAGTTTTTAAGTACTCAAGGTTGATTAGTTCCAAATACTCGTGTTTTAGTAGAGTTGTTCCAAGTAGGCCTGCTCGGTTTTTAACGAGGCGAGTAGTTGAGCTCATAAAAGTATTATTTGTATAGTTTGTCTTTTGTTTTTTGTTAGGGCAATTATGCAATCTTACACCCATTTACCATTTTATCTTGGGAACAATAGATTTATGATGGCTTTTAAATTTCCTCTTCTGACCTGTACCACAGACAATATAATACTTTAATGCTGTATAATACTGTACAGTACAGTACCTATAAAAATGATATTAAGAATCCTAATTAAAATTTTAATGGTTTTTAAAAATACTTTTTGTTTCCAGAAAAGGGCAACCTGCTCATCTCAGGCCATCCAGTAAGTAAAATATAGATAAAACATACTAACTTACCTAACTATAAATAATTCTACAACTAATATTATAAATGAGAAAGTTTCTGTGTTTCTAAGTTTGTTTGTTTGGGGCTCAATCACGCATGCATGAACAGATTAGGCTGAAATTAAATTTGGCATGATGATAGTTCACATTCCCGATTAACATATAAATAAGAATATGCCTTTATTTCAAAAATCCTTTCAGGCTCTACCCCAGTGGCTCTGGCATTTCTCACGTTAACCTTATCAGTATTCATATTTCAAAACAACTAGTCGCTATACCTGTTAGAACTCATGTAAAATAAAAAACTTTTACAAATATTATATAATAAAGAACTGATTTAATGCTGATAAACAACAAATATTTAAAACATTTCTCTATGACAGAATTGTTATATTCTTGATCACTTTAAATTCTTACAACAACTCTTAATTGTTTAAATAAATTACAACATAAAACATCTGTTCATAAAAACAAAGACTAACAAATTATTATATTTGGTGTTGATTAATTAATATTGAATTTGTACTATATAAAAAAATAACTCAATTTCCAACATCCTCCCCACCTTGGAATTTTGCTTTACGTCATCAAAATTTCAAACAAAATTATTTACATGTTTATTTTGGTTTACAAGTCCATTTTCCTCGGGATTTTTATCTTTCTCCCTCTTCTTGGTTCTGTAGGTGTTGATGAATTATCTTCTGTTTCAATATGTACATCCTGTTTCCTTGACATGTCTTTTGAATTTATTTCTATGGGGTAAAGTCTCTGGATGGGTCTTGTTAGTTCTCCTTTTGCTGTTTTTAACTTGGCTACTCTGCAGACTCCATCCTTTCCTCGTATTGTCTCCAACACTAGTGCCAGTGGCCAATTTATTCTTTTGATATTATCGTCACCTATTAGTACAATATCACCGGTACTTATTGTTCTGCTTCCTTTACCACTGTTTTCTTTTGACCTATGTACTAACATCGCAAGGTATTCTTTCTTAAATCTTGATCTCAAATTTTGTCTTAAGCTTTGAAGATACCTCACTCGCTTGTTTAGAGTGGTTGAGTCGACAATGTCCAAATCATGAATGTCACTCTTAACAATTGGTTGTAGAAATACTGAAGTTGTGAGAGGCTGTAGAGTGTCATAGTCATCGCTCATATAGGTCAAAGGCCTTGAGTTGATGGTAGATTCCAAGTCACATAGAAGAGTCATTCAGTCTTCATAATCTACTTTTGCCAATCTTAGATTTCTCCTCACCAGTTCCTTGACCATTCTCACAAGTCGTTCCCACATACCTTCCCACCATGGGGCACTTGGAGGATTGAATTTCCAGGTTATTTGATGGATCTCGAATTTCCGAGAAATGGTTTTCCAATCCAACCGCTTAAGGATATTATTTGTACAGACAAAATTGGTCCCATTGTCTGTGTAAATTAGTGAAATCCGTCTTCTTCTGGATATAAACCGTCGTAAAGCAGATATGAAGGATTCCGTTGAAAGAGACTGTACCAGCTCTAAGTGCACAGCTCTGTACACGGCACATGTGAATAAAACCACCCATGCTCTTTCCCCGTTTCTTAGGTACAGTGGTCCTGCCATATCAATGCCTCTAGACTGGAAAGCGTTGCATTCCGTGATCCGTTCTAAGGGAAGTGGAGCAACTGGTGCTTCTCCTGCTTTAGACTTGAATCTCTTGCATTTGGCACAGTGAGATAAAACATTGCGAATGGTTTTTATACCCTTTAAAATCCAAAACCTTTCTCTGACTATAATTAACATTGATTTAAGTCCAGCGTGTTGATTAGCAACATGAAGTTCCATAATGAGACGTGTGACGATAGGATGACTTGAAGGTAAAAGAATCGGCAATTTGAAATCTTCACTGTCGTCATTCAGAACTAGCCTGATCTTCACTCTTAACAGACCCTTGTCATCGTAGAAAACTGGCAAGTTTTTCTGGAATTTTGACTTTTCTCCAAACGAGTTCTTTTGGATACATAAAATAACTTTATCTTCAGCCATTTGGATCTCTTCACTATTTAAAGTCTCACTTTTTGATTCTTGATTGTGGCTTGAGTTCCTAATAAATAATAAAATCCATGCTACCATTCTTAACAGTTTTAGATAGCTTGAAAAGTATAGTAATGACATTGAGAAGTCAATACTTTTTTCTGTAGTTACTGCTGATACTATCTTCTTTTTCCGTTCATTATATGCTTCTGAATCTGGTAGCGTAAGACTGGACACTGGCCAATGAGACTCATCTTTTTTAAGCCAAAACGGTCCTTCCCACCAATGAGATTCATAAAGTGTCTTAGCTCCGCAACCTCTTGAGGGCAAATCAGCAGGGTTAAGATTTCCTGAAATGTGGTGCCAATCATCTTTAGAAGTAGTGTTACCTATTTCCTTGCATCTGTTCCCAACAAAAGTCCCCCAATCTTCCTTCTCTTTGATCCATGTCAATACGATTGATGAGTCTGTCCAAAAATATGTTTTACATGACATCTTCAACGCCTTTTGAACATGTGTGTAGGTCCGAGCTCCCATAAGTGCGGCCAACAGCTCCAATCTTGGTATTGTTGCATTCTTCGGGGCAATCCTAGATTTTGCATAAATAAGCTGCACAGCCACCTTGTTTTGAGTCTTGGTTCTGATAAAAAGACAAGCTGCATAAGCTAGTTTACTAGCATCGCAAAATATGTGAAAACTAGTCTCGTTTACGGACTGACTCCCTATCAGAAATATTCTTCTTGGTATTCTACAGCTTTCCAACCAATGAATATTTTCAACCCACTTTGAAAATTGGCATGATATTTCATTTGGAAGTTCTTCATCCCATGCCAGTTTTTTCAGCCATGTCTCCTGCAAGAGTAACTTAAGTAATAAAGACACAGGAGAAGTGAAACCTACCACATCTAAAATTCGCTGGGCTACTGAGAGTAGATCTCGTTTGGTTACCTTCTTGTTTGGCATAAAAATGGATCGTATGTCACAAAAAATCTCATCCTTTTCTCTGTCCCACAACATGCCCAGTAATGGTACGATATTTTCTGTTGAAAATTCATTTTTAAGGTTACTGACATCTGAATGGTTGCTAGCCCATTCTTTTAATTCAAACTTTCCTAGCTTCATTAGTTCCATGGATTCATTTACAAACTTTTTTAGTTCTACTGCCGAGTCAACACTAACAATACAATTATCAACATAAAAGGCATCTTTCAGTTTCGCAGCTGTCTCTTGTAGATGAAGTGGTGTGTCATCCAAATGTTGATTTAGTGTGGTTCCTAACAGAAAGGGACTGGAGGTAATTCCAAAGACAACTCTGCAATGTCTAAAAGTTTTCAATTTTCTAGTCTTGTAGTCTTCCCACCAAATGAACCTAAGGTAGTATTAAAAAGTCATTCCTACCAAATCATGCTTTTAATTTGTTCTAGGGTCTTTACATAATTAGTTCCCGATGGTGGAAAACTTTCTACTAATTCCCTAGGGGACGATCCTGGTTTTAAGGATTGGATGAGGTATTGGAACTTATCCTCAGGTTCTAGATCAGGATCCTCGTGGACCTTTTTAAACTGTCCCCAAAACCCTATCCAATTTTTTACATCTCCATCAAACTGGTTTAATTGTAATTTAGGTAGACTTAAGCCCTTCTTAGATGCTAATTTAAGTCTGTGAACGGTATCCCCGACTTCACTTCTTGACTGTTGGCTTAGGCCAACCTGAATAATGAAATTGTCATACTTAGCTCTCATTGAAGATAACATGTGTCTTTAAGATTCTGCAGTATCAAACTCATCTTCTAAGTCCTCTTCTTTTGTTGCAGGATCTTCAAACAAGGCTTCCTTGATGTCTTCATTAAAAAGCCTATCCGCTTTATCTTGCAGCTTGTTTAAATTACTTTTAATTATTACTTCATCTTTACTATCTTCATTCAGTAATTTGTCCATTTCATTTCTGCACTTTGTAAAAGTTCTTCTTAGTTGAGTCCTTTCAGTCTTTAATGACTTCAGCTTATCCATTGTAAGTCAAATATAAGCTTTAGTCCTAATCTGAATTTTAACTATAAATGTCCTGTCACGATCGCCACTATGTTAGAACTCGTGTAAAATAAAGAACTTTTACAAATATTATATAATAAAGAACTGATTTAATGCTGATAAATAACAAATATTTAAAACATTTCTCTATAACAGAATTGTTATATTCTTGATCACTTTAAATTCTTACAACAACTCTTAATTGTTTAAATAAATTAAAACATAAAACATCTGTTCATAAAAACAAAGACTAACAAATATTATATTTGTTTCTTCATAATATTGCCAAACGGCTAAATCATTTTCCAAAATAAACTTATCACACACTTTAAAAAAAAAAATGTTTAAAAAAAAAAACACACAATGCAACAAACCACGATGTGCCACTTGCAAATTAATCATCCCATCAAAAACTTTCACAAGCAGGCATACTAAAAGATGTTATAACATAAATAGTAACATCACCTGTGAGTCTACTAATGTAATTTACCAAATTTCATGCAAACATTGTCCTAAAGACTACATTGGCAAAACCACAAATGCTCTTAGAGTTCGTATGAATGGCCACAGATATGATGTAAACCATCCTGATAAACAAAAACCTGTGGCTATTCATGCGAGAGAGCATTCTCAAAATTTTCAACAATGTTATTCGTTAAAAGGAATAAGAAAATTGGCAAAAGACGCATCAGACTTAGAGTGGTAAACACTTCTATTTGTTATTGTTTGTTTGTTCCTGAAGAAGGCTAATGCTGAAATATAGAACCTTTTTTTAAAAAGTGTGTGATAAGTTTATTTTGAAAAATATTATATTTGGTGTTGATTAATATTGAATTTGTACTATATAAAAAAATAACTCAATTTCCAACACTATACCAGTGCTGTGAGGTGTTTTGTTCGGGTTAGCTTTACCTATCCTAAACTTACCTCCGTTCGCTCGGACAGCTCGAGACGTCCAGGGTTCGCTCGCCTATCGTGATGTCTCTCTACCTTCGTCTCTCCAATGGAGGTGTTAGGGTGACCGGGTGACAACCTACTAGCACTCATGAAGAAGGTCAGCACCTCGACGCGCCCAATATCGACGATAGCCTTATCACACAATAGCTATTAGGCTTCGCACTCCGAGTCAGCACACCGTCGCACTGACAAATGCAATTAATAAGTAAAATCAAGAAAATAAATTAAATATCCGTGGCCTATCCTCCGGCCGACTAAACGATGATCTTCGATGAATAAACTAAAGGAATCCTCTTGTACGGGGCTTGCAATAATAAAGAGAAGAATAAGACAAACTAAAATAAAACAACCTTCTAGATAATAAAATAAATCAACCGTCTGTCTGAAGGCACTTACTTCTTGGCTTCGAAGCAATTAAACGTGGTTTTATAATAAAAGGAAAATGAATTAGTCTTGAAAAGTCTGGAATAAGTCTTGAATTTTTAAATGGAAATAGACTAGACACCCTGATTCATATATTAAGGAACGCGGCAGCGTTCCGCCCCGCCAAGTCCCCCAGCGGTACACAGCTGCTGCAGTGTATATATACATGACGTGACAAAGTGGCTTTTTTACTCGTCCATAGCTCTGAAGAAACAAAAGCTAATAATTATTCATCTACTGGATAGGGGCACTCATTCTCAACAAAATAAAAAAAAGAATTTAAAAAACGGTTGTGTTTGAGCCAAGAAAAACTAGTTTGAAAATTCGCAAATTTTCCGTGTTCTCCTTCTCCTTGAATGTTGACGGACCTACAGACCAAACCACTGGCTCAATTTTAATGTTTTTTATGTTGTTTGAAAGCCCTTAACGTGTAGATGTGCCTTTTGAGGGTCTCAAGTCGGTGAGTTGACCCATAAACCCTTGGCAAGCCCTCAGAGTACGATTTTGGCCTATTTAAACAACATGGGATTAAAATCAAAACAAAAGAAGGACCAGCTGCGATTAAATCTCAATCAATTTAATGTTAGAGAAATTCATAGGAACAGCTGAAAAATTATTTTAAAACTTTTATAAAGTATTTTTTCAGGTATACCGAATGATTTGAACTACTTACTATATAAAATTACTTAGAGCAGTGATATTCCCCGATACTTTCCATTGAAAAATGCAGTGTTCCGATAGTACACTGGTACAGCAGCTCGTCATTTCAACAGTTTAATACTACTTATCAAAACATATGAAACCTAGGAACTTGAAACTTAGTACTAGTACTAAGGTTTGTTTTATGTTGATACACTAAAACAAATAAAACAATCGGGAAATGTTAAACAAGCAATTAAAAAGTGATATGTAAATTTAGGATAAATGAGTTTTTCAATATTTGTTTTGTCTTATGCTATTTCTAACAAACCTAATCTGTTTGATTACAGTTTTACTTCTCTAATAAAGGCTCAATTTACACTAGTCTTTAGATATCAGGTGTTTAATTATCAGAACACTTATGTAACACCAACGCATTTTATGTTGTTCAAGATGATCATTGATGAAATTTGAAACTGAGTTTAAGCCCAGGGGGTTTGTTAAATAGTAATTTTGGCACGTGTGTCAAAAAGTGTTTAATCGGTTTAAAGCAGATAAGACCAAAAATGTAGAATTTAGTTGTACACAAACAATATTATTGAAATTAAATGAGATGTAGTTGTGCCGTGGTCTATATATCAGAGAAAAGAGGATTTTTATTTTAACTGTTGATTTTCTACAAAAATAAATAAAATCTAACAAAAAACCACTAAGTGGTAACACTTTCCCCGCCAAGTCAGCAATCCAAAAAAGATAATAAATCATTACTTTTTCCGCCAAGAAAAACGATGTAATGTATGTAAGTTTGGCAACTTGGCGGCAGACTTTTGCTCGATCACTTTAAAAAATAGGTACCATAAAAATAGTTTCAAAAATACCATAAAAATAGTTTCAAAAATACCATAAAAATAGTTTCCTTGAGCAAGTATCTCTCCCATTAGTACATTGCTAGGTGAGAGCTTATTTTACAAAATTTGACCTTATTTGTGCCACATTTCATAAAATCATAATAGTGATGGTTTGTTGTTCAAAGGTTTATTGCGGACATTTTCCATCACGATTGTAAAAAACAATACACAACGTTTCGGGATCTGGAATCTGATCCCGTCCTCAGGTGAAAAAACTTAACTAACACATTACAACTAACAATACACAAACGCCCAACCTAAGTTGGAATACACTACAGAAGGTAGCAGTCAAAAATATGCACTGTATAGCAGTCAAGTCATGATACAACATGCAAATAATAACCAATCACAAAACACTATAATCTATAAAAGATGTAACGTATAAAGCTCACACAATGGAACACTAATAGCACCGTTCGCAATGACTCCACCAATGAGACTGATGCAACATGGCCGACCAATCGGAAACACGGAGACAACAGAAATGGCTTCCGGTCCCTGGAAAAGTAAAACCAACAAAAAAGGCAGAGCGATGTACGATGCCGCAAGATGGGTGTTAATTCTGTTTATTCCTACCACGAGTTTTACTACTAGTTAACATAACGTGCGAATTTTGAGGAGAACTCGTTATTTCCCTATTTATTGAACAATTAAGTTCCCTATCCTTTAGTTCCTTGTTCAAAATGGGTAGCCAAAGTGGCCTGATTTCAACCGATGACTGACTGATTGGTTGGTCTGCTAATTTAATGTATGAGGCTTCAATGAGTTTACGTTTGAAAAAATGAGGTTCCTTATGGACAATTTTTGCCTCTTCAAAATTCATACGATGATTTTCGGACCAGCAATGATGAGCGATCTTAGATTTTTCCACTAAACCTTTTTTAGTGTTTTCTCTGTGTTCTTTGATTCTAACGTTCAACGGTCTTTTTGTCTCGCCATAGTATGGCCTGGAACAATCATTGCAATTTATTCTGTAAACACAGTTTTTAGTATCCTGAGTGTCATTTTTGGGTTTTGTTTTGACGAGACTCTGCCTAAGTGTATTTTGTGTCCTAAACGCTGTTTGCACATTAAATTTCCTAGCAACCCTTCTGATTTTTTCTGACAGACCTGACACATACGGGATTGACATGTGGACGAGCTTTTCCTTGCGATTTTGTAAAGGTTCACGCGTAGCCCTATCTTTCCTGCATTTGCTTATAATGGATCGAGGGTATCCGTTACTAGCCAAATCCTGTTCTACTTTCTTTATTTCATCCTTTAACTCATCCTGATTGGAGCAAATGCTCTTAGCCCTGTCAAACAGAGAGTAAGCAACCCCCTCCTTGACAGAAATTTGTTGGTTTGATTGAAAGTTTAAATACTGCCCTGTGTGTGTCTTCTTTCTATAAACAGATGTTCTAAGACTGTTCAAATGCTTTTCTACGCACACATCCAAAAAGGGGAGTTTGTTTTGCGATTCCACCTCCATGGTTAGTTTTATGGAAGATGAAACGCTATTAAGGTGCTCTAAAAACTCATTCAATTTATCATCTCCATGAGGGAAAACCACGAAAGTGTCATCGACATATCTCCACCATATCTTCGGTTTTAGCCGAGCTGAAGCCAAAGCTTTTTGCTCAAACTCCTCCATAAAGATGTTGGCAAAGATAGGTGACAAAGGTGACCCCATGGCCATACCCTCATCTTGACGGTATAATTTACCCTCTAATTGGAAATAGTTACACTGAGTACACAAGTCCAAAAGTTCCATTATGACGTTAACAGGGAGTTTAGTTCTGTTTGCTAAAGTATCGTCGTTTGTGAGACGAGTCTCGATTATTTTTAGGGTTTCCGAAACGGGGACATTCGTAAACAGACTTTCAACATCGAAGCTGACCAACTTGTCAGTATCAGCCAGTACGATAGATTTAGACTTTTCTACAAAATCTTTAGAGTTTTTGATAAACGAATCAGTGTTTCCTACTAAAGGCTTTAAAATGTCCAGAAGGACTTTAGACAATTCCCTACAAGCAGAATCACGGGAGCTAACTATCGGTCTCAGTGGAACGTTAGGTTTATGGATCTTAGGTAACCCGTACATGTGTGGAATTTTGGAATGGTGTGGTGTTAACCGAGTCCTTTGTTTGTCACTAAAAAACTTTTTGTGTTTTCTTAGAGTAGTAGCGATTTTACGCTCGAAAGTTTCTGTGGGGTCTTTTTTCAATTGGGTGTATTTACCAGATTGCAAAGTTTCTAACATTTTTTCTTCGTATGTCACAGTATCAAGAACTACCGTGGCATTCCCTTTATCCGCGGGCAAAATCTTTACAGTACCGTCTTTCCCAAGGACTGATACTGCTTTGGTTTCCTCTTTACTAAGATTAGGTTTAGGAGTGGGAATTTTCTTTAGTAAAATACTAGCTTCACAACGGAACTGATCCCCCTGAGACTCAGGTAACTGAGAAACAGCAGACTCAATCCCTGTCACAAAATCCAGCGTTTTAATTGATTTAGGCACAACGGAAAAATTTAGCCCTCTGCTCAAAACAGAAATCTCAACGGGGTTTAGAACTTTAGAAGACAGATTCACAACTTGGTTTTTTGCATCATCACACTGTGGAATTTGAGTATTCCATTTAAAAGACAGATTCACAACTTGGTTTTTTGCATCATCACACTGTGGAATTTGAGTATTCCATTTAAATGGAATACTCAAATTCCACAGTGTGATGATGCAAAAAACCAAGTTGTGAATCTGTCTTCTAAAGTTCTAAACCCCGTTGAGATTTCTGTTTTGAGCAGAGGGCTAAATTTTTCCGTTGTGCCTAAATCAATTAAAACGCTGGATTTTGTGACAGGGATTGAGTCTGCTGTTTCTCAGTTACCTGAGTCTCAGGGGGATCAGTTCCGTTGTGAAGCTAGTATTTTACTAAAGAAAATTCCCACTCCTAAACCTAATCTTAGTAAAGAGGAAACCAAAGCAGTATCAGTCCTTGGGAAAGACGGTACTGTAAAGATTTTGCCCGCGGATAAAGGGAATGCCACGGTAGTTCTTGATACTGTGACATACGAAGAAAAAATGTTAGAAACTTTGCAATCTGGTAAATACACCCAATTGAAAAAAGACCCCACAGAAACTTTCGAGCGTAAAATCGCTACTACTCTAAGAAAACACAAAAAGTTTTTTAGTGACAAACAAAGGACTCGGTTAACACCACACCATTCCAAAATTCCACACATGTACGGGTTACCTAAGATCCATAAACCTAACGTTCCACTGAGACCGATAGTTAGCTCCCGTGATTCTGCTTGTAGGGAATTGTCTAAAGTCCTTCTGGACATTTTAAAGCCTTTAGTAGGAAACACTGATTCGTTTATCAAAAACTCTAAAGATTTTGTAGAAAAGTCTAAATCTATCGTACTGGCTGATACTGACAAGTTGGTCAGCTTCGATGTTGAAAGTCTGTTTACGAATGTCCCCGTTTCGGAAACCCTAAAAATAATCGAGACTCGTCTCACAAACGACGATACTTTAGCAAACAGAACTAAACTCCCTGTTAACGTCATAATGGAACTTTTGGACTTGTGTACTCAGTGTAACTATTTCCAATTAGAGGGTAAATTATACCGTCAAGATGAGGGTATGGCCATGGGGTCACCTTTGTCACCTATCTTTGCCAACATCTTTATGGAGGAGTTTGAGCAAAAAGCTTTGGCTTCAGCTCGGCTAAAACCGAAGATATGGTGGAGATATGTCGATGACACTTTCGTGGTTTTCCCTCACGGAGATGATAAATTGAATGAGTTTTTAGAGCACCTTAATAGCGTTTCATCTTCCATAAAACTAACCATGGAGGTGGAATCGCAAAACAAACTCCCCTTTTTGGATGTGTGCGTAGAAAAGCATTTGAACAGTCTTAGAACATCTGTTTATAGAAAGAAGACACACACAGGGCAGTATTTAAACTTTCAATCAAACCAACAAATTTCTGTCAAGGAGGGGGTTGCTTACTCTCTGTTTGACAGGGCTAAGAGCATTTGCTCCAATCAGGATGAGTTAAAGGATGAAATAAAGAAAGTAGAACAGGATTTGGCTAGTAACGGATACCCTCGATCCATTATAAGCAAATGCAGGAAAGATAGGGCTACGCGTGAACCTTTACAAAATCGCAAGGAAAAGCTCGTCCACATGTCAATCCCGTATGTGTCAGGTCTGTCAGAAAAAATCAGAAGGGTTGCTAGGAAATTTAATGTGCAAACAGCGTTTAGGACACAAAATACACTTAGGCAGAGTCTCGTCAAAACAAAACCCAAAAATGACACTCAGGATACTAAAAACTGTGTTTACAGAATAAATTGCAATGATTGTTCCAGGCCATACTATGGCGAGACAAAAAGACCGTTGAACGTTAGAATCAAAGAACACAGAGAAAACACTAAAAAAGGTTTAGTGGAAAAATCTAAGATCGCTCATCATTGCTGGTCCGAAAATCATCGTATGAATTTTGAAGAGGCAAAAATTGTCCATAAGGAACCTCATTTTTTCAAACGTAAACTCATTGAAGCCTCATACATTAAATTAGCAGACCAACCAATCAGTCAGTCATCGGTTGAAATCAGGCCACTTTGGCTACCCATTTTGAACAAGGAACTAAAGGATAGGGAACTTAATTGTTCAATAAATAGGGAAATAACGAGTTCTCCTCAAAATTCGCACGTTATGTTAACTCGTAGTAAAACTCGTGGTAGGAATAAACAGAATTAACACCCATCTTGCGGCATCGTACATCGCTCTGCCTTTTTTGTTGGTTTTACTTTTCCAGGGACCGGAAGCCATTTCTGTTGTCTCCGTGTTTCCGATTGGTCGGCCATGTTGCATCAGTCTCATTGGTGGAGTCATTGCGAACGGTGCTATTCCATTGTGTGAGCTTTATACGTTACATCTTTTATAGATTATAGTGTTTTGTGATTGGTTATTATTTGCATGTTGTATCATGACTTGACTGCTATACAGTGCATATTTTTGACTGCTACCTTCTGTAGTGTATTCCAACTTAGGTTGGGCGTTTGTGTATTGTTAGTTGTAATGTGTTAGTTAAGTTTTTTCACCTGAGGACGGGATCAGATTCCAGATCCCGAAACGTTGTGTATTGTTTTTTACAATCGTGATGGAAAATGTCCGCAATAAACCTTTGAACAACATTAACTCACCATCACCAACAATGAACTTCAAACAAAGAAGTGATGGTTTTATATTTACTGATTACCTCGGAATTATTATACTAAGTGTTTCTTCTGATCTGGTAAGAAATCCACTGTCTTCCAGTAGCTTTAGTCATCAGATTCTAAAGAGAGTGATTAATGAAAATGATTTCCCTCTGCTTAGTAATGCTCTACGAGCGGTAAATTGGGATTTACTCCTGCAACAACCTGACCCAGAAATTGCTTTTTCTACTTTCCATGACTTGTTTACCAACAAATTTGACTCAGTTTTTCCTGTTAAGATTATAAAACCCAAAAAAGTAGTTGATGGTAGGCCTAAAAGTAAAGCTCCTTGTAGGGTAAGTAAGACTTGGTATACTCCTGAACTTGCCAAAATGCGATCCTTTCTGCAAACTCTCCATGATCACTACAAGGCTGCTAACTCGCCTGAACTTATTGCTACTTTTAGGAACCTCTACACTAGGGTAAAGAGAAAATACAGATTTGCGGTCACTCAGGCCAAGAGAGCCTGTAATGCTAGGACAATCATGCAGTCTCCAAATCCTTGTAAAGCTGCTTGGAATCTTGTAAATAAGCATCGTACTCAGAGGTCTATTCTAAATACTGAAGCATCACCTGATGATTTTAACAACTTCTTTTTAAGTAGTGTTCAGGTCATTGTCTCTAACCTGCCTGTTTTACAGACGGACCCTCTGGCCTCGATTAATGACATTCAACCAGCACTCACACTAACAACTTGGAAATTGGTGAGTACTCATGATATCATATCAATAGTTAAGAACTTCAAAAATTCTAGAAGCCAAGATATTTACGGAGTGTCCTGCATGGCCCTAAAGGCTCTTATCGATTCTTTAGTTGTACCCCTCACTTGGTTAGTCAATCTATGTCTCAGTAAAGGCTCATTCCCAGATTTATTGAAAATGGCTAGAACCGTACCCGTCCATAAGAAGGGTGATGTTTCCACTTTGTCTAATTTCAGGCCTATTTCCATTCTACCTGTGTTTTCAAAGATACTCGAAACGATAATGAAGAACCAACTCATGTCGTTTTTTGAAGACAATAGCCTGTTTATAGATGCCCAACATGGATTCAGAAAAGGCCGCTCTACCACCACCGCCTTGCTGAGCCTAGTCAACACCATCTCTGAAGCATTTGAGCAAAATGAGTCCGTGCAGCTTAGCCTCTGCGACCTAAGCAAGGCTTTTGATGTAGTACCTCATGATATCCTCCTGCTAAAACTGGGAAAGTATGGCGTTGGCGGTGTTGTTCTCAAGAGCCTCTCAAACTATCTGAGGGACCGTAAGCAAGTTGTATCTCTGCGAGGAGCCCTTTCCAGCATAGGCCATCTCTCACACGGCGTGCCACAGGGATCTGTCCTCGGCCCTCTCCTTTTTACTATAATGATCAACGACCTTCATCTGAGTGGGAGAACATTATTATTTGCAGATGATACAACACTGCTGACTAGAGGTGTAAATATTCACCAACTGCCAACAGAGGCTGAAGACCTGCTCGAGAGAGCCAAGGATTGGTTTGTTGTAAACCGCTTGAAAATCAACGATGACAAAACCCAGTCCCTGGTTTGTACGCTGAAGCGGAGAGAAGGGGAAGATGGCAATGTAAAGCTTCTGGGATTTACATTAGATACCAGACTAAGTTGGAGCGAACACATTGCGCAGACATGTGTCAAGTTATCTCGTGTGCTCCATCTCCTAAGAAAACTTACGCCAGAAATTCCTAGATCATCTCTCCTATCCGTGTACCACGCCTTGTTTCACAGTCATGTGACTTATGGACTTGTACTTTGGGGGCACTCCTCAGCAGCTGAGGATATACTTCTCTTACAAAAAATGGCCTTGAGGATTGTTACATCTGCTGGGTATTTTGACCATTGCCGGCCAATCTTCAAGGAACTAGGGGTGCTCACAGTATATAGTCAGTATGTTATGGATATTCTGATCCTACTAAAGAACAACTTGAGGGATTACAGTAAGAGAGAGGAGGTGCATGATTACCATACTAGGAAGGCCCATAACATCGACGTTCCCCGCTGCCGTCTCAGTCGTACCTTGAGTTGCTATCCCCGTTCAGCGATCAGAATATTTAATACTCTGCCTACCCAGATGCGGGAGATGGATGTGCCATCCTTCAAGAGGGAACTAAAAGGGATACTTGCTAATAGACCGCTCTACTCCCTTAAAGAACTCGAGGATGAGCCCCTTGTAAAATAGCGTATGTCCGCCTTGCCATCCAATAGACGGCCAAGTTTTTTTTATAGTAGCCATTTTTATGGTTTTGTAAATATTGTATATAGTTTTATTTATCTGATTATATTATAAATTATGACGCAATCTATCAGACTAGATCTGTCAAAGATGCAGGATTCAAGTATTCAAGTAAGTAAGTAAGTAGTTGGACTAATTAATTAGAGAAGTTGATTTGTGAAATTATCCACGAACGTAACTTTAATGAAAAAAAAACCAAGCAAAAGTCTGCCGCCAAGTTGCCAAACTTACATACATTACATCGTTTTTCTTGGCGGAAAAAGTAATGATTTATTATCTTTTTTGGATTGCTGACTTGGCGGGGAAAGTGTTACCACTTAGTGGTTTTTTGTTAGATATATTCTTCCTAAATCTTCTGTCTTGTTAATAACATGTGGCTAAATTTAAATAATATTGCTGCTAACTTATTATGCTGTTTGACCATTAATTTTGGATTTATGTCAAGTGGGTTGCCATTCCTGTCAAGGCCAATTGTTTTAGTAGGATGAAGTGGTTTTATTTTAGGGGGGATGTGTGCATGTTCTTGCTTTTACTTCGGCATTTGGTTTTAAATAACCTAATATTACGTTTTGTTTTAACCATTTTGGAGATTTACTTGCATTGTAAGCGTAAATGAATTTTTGTGAATTTTAGTTTTCTGATGAAATATAAAAGTGAAGTACTTTTTGTCTCGGAACTTTAAATCTATATCAAGTTTGTATTGATGATGTTCTGTCAAGATTTCCATTAATTTGTAGTGTTGGTGGGAAGCAATAACTGTGTCCGTAGGAACTTAAATTTCAACTATCTCCTCACTAGACTCTGCTATAGTCCTTGCCACCCTAAGTTGAGGCAGCCAAAGGCCGCACAAAATACGCGCCGTGCGGCCTTGGGCTGCCTCAACTTAGGGTGGCGAGGACTATAGTGTTGTTAGAACGAACGTTTTTAAATTTAGTAACCAAGATTTGTCCATTGTGATGCAATGAACTTTATCTTTATTCGTTAGTCTGATTTCCTGTTTCTTAAAATCCAATTCCATGCAGTTTTGGAATAAAAACCAATTTCCTAGGATTACGTCAGTTGCTAAATCTTCAATTACGTAAAAGTCAGTTGGATACACAGTGCCATTAATTGTTATTGGTAGCAATAGTTTTCCTAACACTTTTACTGGTTGATCGTTTGCTGCTACAATTAAGGGTAAGTTATCTGTTTGAATGGATAGGTTATTTACAGTTGATGATTTGATAAGGCAATAGTTGCAACCAATATCTAAGGTAGCTGAATAAGTTTGTCCATTTTCTGGTATTTCAATATTTAGTGTTAATGTAGGGAATGTTTTTGTTTGCTTAACATTAAATATCCGATAGTGTGCATTTAGATAGTCTCTTATCACATTTGATTAGGGTTCTCAAATTTAGGTGTTTAGAACTCTGTTGGAAAACTTCTTTGTCGATTTGATTCTGAAGGGTTGTTGCTTCACTAGCTGTTAAACAAACTCCTGCAGTTGATGAATCCACGTGTCTATCCGTAGAGGTTCCTAGAAGTGATGTAGTTGTACTCAAGCTGTTGCTGTCATCCGATGTTGAAGGTCGTGAAGAGGTGACAGATGTGGCAAGTAGAGTCTTAGGCTGATCAGCTGTGCGGTGCCGTGACGTCAGTTGCTGAGTCGGTGTTCCTAGGCAGCAGCGAGTCAACTCTTGTGACGTAGGCGTTTGTTGTGGTGCGTTATTCTCTCCATCAGCTGATTGCAAGGTCGTCTTAGGCCTCGGGAACGATACGAGCGGCGAGCGGTGAGCGGCAAGTGGCGAGCGGCAACCTGAGCGGCACGTAAGCGGCGGTGGTGGCTACGATACAAGCGGCACTTTTATAATGCTCATCAAATTTCCCCAGTTTTACGAGTCAGTTTAGTCGAAAATGATAAACTATGCTTACCTGCAAGCCGTATTGCAACTATTGTTGCTATCTGACAATTGTTTGCCTTTAAAGAAAAACTTAGTTTTTAGAAAAACCTTAAACCTATCTTGGTCTCGTACTTTTCTGGTGACTGAAGTGTCTTAAAACTTCCGTGCTGTTCATTCCACAAACATTCCCTGGACTGCACCTCACGTATCGACCCGTACTGCATGTTTGCTTCTGTTTCCCTGTCATTTTAGGCCAAACTGAAGCATGACTCACCTGAGCGGCAAGCGGCGTTTTTGCAAAAATCGGTTTTGACTTGGATCCATGAGCGGCGCTGAGCGGTGCCGCTCATCGCCACTCGCCACTCGCCGCTCAGACGTATCGTGGTCACCCTCAACAAATTTACACGCAACTAAATGAGACCCGATGTCAGAGCTCATGCCGCTCGCCGCTCGTATCGTACCAGGTCCCAAACGATATCCACTCCAAAATCGGAGTCTGCAGTTTTAGGCCCCGGGTACGATACGAGCGGCGAGCGGCGAGCGGTGAGCGGCGAGCGGCATGAGCGGCGCCGCTCTGACATCGGGTCTCATTTAGTTGCGTGTAAATTTGTTGAGGGTGGCCACGATACGTCTGAGCGGCGAGCGGCGGTAAGCGGCACCGCTCAGCGCCGCTCATGGATCCAAGTCAAAACCGATTTTCGCGAAAACGCCGCTCGCCGCTCAGGTGAGTCATGCTTCAATTCGGCCTAAAATGACAGGGAAACAGCAGCAAAAATCCGATAGGGGTCGATACATGAGGTGCAGTCCAGGGAATGTTTGTGAAATGACCAGCACGGAAGTTTTAAAACACTTCAGTCACCAGAAAAGTATGGGACCAAGTTAAGGTTAAGGTTTTTCTAAAAACTAAGTTTTTCTTTAAAGGCAAACAATTGTCAGATAGCAACAATAGTTGCAATACGTCTCGCAGGTAAGCATAGCTTACCATTTTCGACAAAACTGACTCATAAAACTGTGGAAATTTGATGAGCTTTATAAATGTGCCGCTTGTATCGTAGCCACCCCCGCCGCTTACGTGCCGCTCAGGTTGCCGCTCGCCGCTCGCCGCTCACCGCTCGCCGCTCGTATCGTACCCGAGGCCTTAGTTTTTATAACTTATCAATCGACCATGCATATGTTTACTATTTCCTTTGTAATGAAGAATGTTTTATGCAATAAAATACTTATACTTATACATAACGGCCTAAAGCCTAAGAAAAGTCTCGCACTGTCTAAAACTAAATTAAGGAATCTTAAAAAGTTCCAAGTCTCATAATGCGCACAGACTCGGGAGTACCATTTCCTCAACAAATCTTAAACTTTTCTAAAATAGTGCCTTTAGACATTACAATAATGCACACTTTTCTACATGTATTTTTTGTGCTGTAGTTTGTATATAGTACTTCAACATTGAAATACTCTTTAATTTAGTTGTGGACATTGTGGGACTAGCGGGAAATCTTGGACACTATGAAACTCCCCAATTATACTAATGCTTGAGTCAAAACCACCAATCACAATTGTGTATTTACGTTCCACAGACCAACCTAAGACAACCTCTCCAGAAGTTAACCAGAGTTGACCACCACGTAGTGGACGTCGGCGCACAGTGGCTACAAGCATTCAAGAGTCTACTAGAGGACCCACATACAATGAGGTTTTAGATCTTTTAGTTACCTCATCCGGCTCTGTAAATAATCCTTGTCGTGTTTTGAACACATTTTTTATTTTATACGCAAAACCTAATTAGCTTTAAAAAATGCCTTAGAATCAAAAAACTTTATACGGATTTTATTTCGATGCAGATTAAATGTTTATAGGAAAATATATTATTGTAAAAAATAAATTTGAGATAAAATTTAAAAAAAATGTTTTATTGAGAATATCCTTGTAAAATCAGGAAATCTAGTGTAGTAGTATTAGATATGTAATGATCAAGGATATATTATTAGTTAATCATTCTTCATTCAAATTTCCCTAATTCAGAAACCAATGAATTTTTATCGGACATCAGTACTTAAAATTAATATTTGTAAATCATTGTTGAATCAAGTAAATTAGTCGTAGTACATTTTTAAACTAGGTTTCAGAATGTTGGAACATTAATGTCCAAAACTAGAGTTACACAACAACAATAACGTAAAACTAGGAAGTTGAAGAATCATTTGCAAGTTATAAACGCAACCAACCTAATCGAGCCTATAGCCACCTCACCATTCTCAATGTCAGCTGTAGCCCTTTGCCATCGACTAGTTGCCTAATTGCAGTATGGCCTGTTTTTCTAGTGGGGCTTTGATAAGAATTACAGCCAAGAGTATATAAAAAATATGTTGGACACAATTTGAAACATTTCAATATACTTTAGTGAAATAATTAATTGCCATTGAAGCAGTAAAAAGTAATTAGCCATTGAATGAACCTGTTGGATATAATTCAATTTTTTAAACAATAGAAAGAAGAGGTGATCACGTTTGCTCACCAACATTAAGGGTTTTCCTTACTGCAAGATGAAAGAATATTTTACACCAAGGGCTGGATCGAGGGTTTGCAGACCCTTGATCATGTTTTTTAAGTTTAACGCTTAGGCGAGAGCAATCACAGCAAACAAATGGTTTTTGGCTGAGTTGCAAATGCAGTTTTTCACTTCACTGTAATTATGGCCACAAAATCAAATATTTTGATAGATTTTCAAAACCCATGAAAAAACATGGATAGTACTATCTTTTTAGCGAATTTCCCATATAAGGAATAAGCTATTACCCTAGGTCTCATGGTAAGACCTGGACCTGGGACTGATTTACTTTTTTGTTTTGAGGTCCCCAGAGGCCAAAAACACCATCCGTTCAAATTCATAGATATATATACATATATTTATTTAGGCTATATATATGTCTGTTAGCACGATATCTCGAACAAAATCATCCGATTTTGATGAAATTTGGTATAAACGTGTAAACCTACATTTATTCGAACGAGTTCGCGAACCAGCATGATCGGACCATGGGAACGGGGGTTTATGGGGTAAAAATGGGTTTTTCCCTTTTTTGACCCTAAAAACATAAAATTTCGGAATTTCTTTACCAACCATTTTGTAGAGCTTAAAAAAAGAAATAATTTAGTATATTGAAGCATTGTTGTATGCCTAATGGTTACGGAGAAAAAAAAATCAAATTTAAAATTTCCATGTTATTCTAATGGAGAAAATGAAAACTGTTGTAGTTTACTTGTTTATGGATATATATATGTTGATCAAATTTAGCTAATTTATTTATTTCATCCTATTCTATTGATGTTTGGTCAAAAACACTGTTTACCTTCCCTGTAGCAGCAAACCTAAGCACTCGTTAAATCTAATGTTATTTAAATTGGGAATAAATATGTCTTATTTATGGAAAAGTAGTAGGGAAAAGCCGGTTCTGGACCAACCCTGATAAACCAAGGATTCATCATCTGTTTACTCTTCCACTCATTGAAAAGCCGTTTCTGGACCAGCCCCTAGCAGACTAGAGATTTGCCCATTTTCAAGTTCAGCTGGCTCGTGGTGACAAGTAGTATATATATGTGCGTCCTACTCCCGGAGCCAATATGGGCTCTTATGGGAATACCTCCCCACAAAATCCGGAGGTGTCCTCCAACCCCACACATGGAGTATGTATGTTTGTCCTGTGCTGGGGTTTAATATAGACCTTATGGTGACAAATTCAACCCTTGTCTCATCACTCTGGGGCAAAAATAATTTTTTTTAAGATTTTTATTTTCTTACAGTGATCTAGAAATTGTATACAGTTGTCTAATGATGTTTCTTGAAATGTCATAACTGAATCCAGTTTCAGAGACCACGACTACGTATGCTGTTGTTCCGGCATCGGCTTGTGCGGTCGCGATAGCATTTACGAAATCTAACTCAATCTGGATGTCACTTCTTGAGCAATCTGTGCTCATTGGGTGAATATGAGTGTCTATCACCAACAGCGGATAGTCATTCTTGAACTCTGAAGGAGATACGAACACATTGGTGTCTCCAAAGTTCACCAGACGATATCTGACCAACTGTTCGTACAACAGTCTCCATTTGCCTTCAGAGATGTGTATGTTCTGCATTTCTTGGGGATAACGTTCTCCGTTTATTTTCACATCGACATTTTTTATGTTGCAACTATCAAAACGGGAGGGAATTTTCTTCTGGTCATTCCAACGGCTAGTTTGCAACCCCACAATGACAAATTTCGGGTTGTATACATTTCTATAAACGTTTGTGATATCGAAGTTGAACGAGGCCCCGAAAACACCTTTCTTCTCAATATACTGCCACTGGTAATAGTTGTATACCAATTTACTATGATCACTCAAACGGGTCAACCCATCGATCAATTGAATCTTGCTGGTGGCTGTATACTCGACTAACGGAACTCGAAGAACGAAGGATTTGATTTCGACTTTTCCCTCGTCCGGCATCGTGTCTGTCGTGGCTGATCCTTTCCAAACGAATAGAGCATCGTTATCTTCAGCACGGGTAATTACGACTTCGAATCCACCTTTGTACATAGGATACCGTAGATGATCGAAGAAGCCGAGACCGAGGTGTGCAAGGGTACCGATTACTTTGAAGTTGCCTCCACCAGTGAACGTGGATACGAAACCACAATTTCCTAGAGAGTTCTTGTTCGAACTGGAATAGTTGAGGATTCCCTTGACCGTGCTTGTGACACCAGGATAGTCGACAGTGTCGATTGTGGTGTTGTGTTTCTTGAGTTAAATTCGAGTAAACAGAAACGGTACGAAATTGTCGATGAGTTTAATGTTTGTTTTATCGGCATAAGCAGCCCCGTCAGATTTCTTGACGACTTTACCACAAATGTGAAATTGTATTCCTGAATCATAAAACGTGTCACCGTGATCGAGTTTAAAAACCGTGTAATTATTTGGAGTGTTGAAATTGAGTTCAGACACCGGCATGACAGAGCGGTATTCGCTCTTCACCACACCGCTTGAAAACTGATTGTATGTAGCATCCATTTGTGTTGGTTACTTAATAAAGGTTGAAAAAAATATACTATGTTAACATTACGATTTTACTCTTTAGACCTTATCCTCAGTAGCGAACTCAAGAGCCGTGTATTAAATCCGTGATTACGTTCGTGTTCTTCGAGGAATTCCTTGGACACGTTTTGATACTTTATGATGTAGTACCAATCTACGTTGCCTGCAAAATCGTGTATGAATGATTCAGACAGTGTTTGATATTTGCTGACCACATACCAGCACTCGTTAAAGTTGACAGCCATTTCCGGAGGAAGCTCTCATCGAACTTTGTCCTCTTCAGTACGGCATACCAGTTTACGCGATGGAAATACGTGCGTAACATGTCGATGCTGAAATCGTAGTTTTCGGATAGGAGACCCCAGTCGAGCTCCTTAGCGTACTTCATAACGAACTCGTCTGTGAGAACGCCCTTAGGTGCTTTTGCTTCCCGAGAAAGAATCGTCCATGCGTTTTCCATGTTGTACTCTTTCTCTCACTTATATACATACAGACGTTCCTAGTCCAAGACCGAGTTTGCGCTTCATCCACATTGCGTCGGTCGTACCGAGTGCGACAGCGCGTTCGTTTAGATCGGCGTCAGAAGACGTGACCCTATTCCAAGCGGCGTCTTGCAATTTCTTATCTGCCACCCATCGGTCTTTGGCACGCCTATGATCCCGATACCACATGTCATGTTTCTTGCACGCCTCGTCTAAGGGGTTAACTCCTTTGTCACCACGAGCCAGCCGATCAGATAGCTTCGTACCAGGTCCACAATAATTGTACGTATCAAGATTTCAACTACGTGGAGCGTGTAGCTCAAACGGTAAACTGTTGATTAAGTTGTTCAACAACCCCGATCCTTGAATAGCGTGTTCAGGTAACGCTGATAGACAGCTTATGAGATACTTCAATCCGTTTGGTCGTTCGATTAGCTCCTGCATGTGGTCGTATATGAATTTCACGACTGATAGTTTCTCGTTGTGAAAGTTATTGTTTCCAGCAGCCTCCTCAGCGTGTATGAAATTGAGCCGACTGATCAATTCGTTTAAATCCTTTATGTACCGATATTCGATTGGTGTTTTGTCATCGTACCGTTTCAACCCAGACCCAACTGTCTCTGTGGGTGTTGATGTAGTTGGGGTTGTGGGTTTATTCATCTCGTCCCAAATGGGTTTGATCATCTGTTTCCACTTTTGACCCTGACTTGATTTCTGTCGTCTAGTCGAGGGGTCGTTCTTTTGATACAACGAGTTGGATGTCAACAGAATTTCCTTGTATGAATTCCAATCGTCAGATGTGTACTCGTCAGACTTAACAAAACCTTTATTCTTCAAGAGTTTCCAAAGACCTTCGCTGCCGACAAAACTTTTACCTGACATCACTATATCGTCATAATTAAAGGTGATTGGTTGTGTTGATATAGTATAAGCTCATTCATCTCAACATATTATGTACAGCACTTGTCAACTAAATCATGTTACTCTTTGGTTTTCTTCTTACTGAAAATAGAAGCTTAGCTCCTCCTTCTTTTCATGGCCTCTGTCTAAGTAAGATGTTGTACAATTGTGAATTATGTAATTTAATTTAATTTCATACAAATAAATAACTTACGTTTAAATTGTGTGTTTTATTAAAACGCCAGTCAAGATGGTGTCAGGATAAATGATAAATTTTCAAGTGAAGTGTGAAAACGTAAGTAAATTGCAACATATAGACAAGCCATGAAACCTAGCACGAGACGTGGAGTACCTATCACATAGTTCTTTCATGTTGAAGAATGTCCTTCTGATTCTGAAACGAAGATAAATTACTAGGAAACTTATTTGAAAAGTCACAGAATCTTAATAAAATCACTGACAAAATGTCTGCTAGTAGCTCAGGTATAGACTCTAAAATAGGCCCAATTAGCCTAGATGGAAATCTTTCACAAAATTGGACCTTTTGGCTGCAAAGGTTTAAGATTTTCCTAACAGCTTCCAACCTGACAAGGAAGGTGATGAAAGGAAAATAGCGATTCTACTTCATAATCTTGGAGAAAATGTCTAGAGATCTATAATTCCTTTAATTTATCATCAGATGATTCCAAGAATTATGACACGGTAGTATCAAAGTTTGAAGGTTACTCTCTCCGAAGAAGAATATTACCATTGAGAGACACAAGTTATTCATCGTAAGCAATCTGCTAATGAAACGATTGATTCTTTCTATACTGATTTAGTTAATAAAAGTCTAACTTGTGAATTTGGTACGCTCCGCGAAGACTTGGTGCGTGATTTGCTGATTTGTGGACTGCATGCTAATTATGTTCACATCAAAGAAAGGTTGCTGCGTGAACAGGACTTAACGTTAGTGAAGGCTATCAATATCTGTAAGACAGCGGAACTTTCAACTATTCAAGTAAAAGAACTCGATGGAGTTGAAATAGTTCAAGTAAGCGCAAGGCCTAAGTATGGGTCTACGTTCAATAAAGGGTTGTCTCATCAAAATTCGTCTCATCAAGCTAAATCTGAAAAGTTTGGTCCTAAGAAATATATTACCAACTGTACAAACTGTGGTAAAAATCATCGTATAAACCAGTGTCCGGCTTATGGTGTCGTCTGTTTTTCTTGTAAACGTAAAAATCACTTTTCATCATATTGTAAGTCTGGTAACTCTGGTCATGGTACCAACAGTAAGAGCATTAAAAATAACAAAAGTTGGCCTAAACCTAAAAAAGTGAATGAAGTTAACCTAACTTCTGGTATGGATCCTAGCCTACCGGTATCTCAGGATATAGGCCTAGATAATTTCACTATAGACACTGTAATTAATACACATGAAAAGCCTAAAGATTGGATTGAGACTGTTGTAATTAATAATCGTAAAATTAATTTCAAACTTGATAGTGGTGCACAAACAAACTTAATGTCATACTCTCAGTTTAAAGAGTTGGGCTTACCTCAATCTATAATTAATAAAACTGATATTGTAATTACATCAGCTTTTGGCCAGCAAGCACCTGTAGTAGGTAATTGTAAAATAGATTGTATTATAAAAGGTATGTCTTGTGTAGTGTTTTTTGTAGTAATTGATGGGCCGTCACCGTCATTATTAGGTCTCCATACTTGTGAAGAACTAGGTCTAATATCTCGTTCTGTAAACTATTTATCTGCTATAAATGACAGCTTTACTAATGAAATTGTAAGTAAAGATTACCAAGTAATGTTTGATGGCAATCTAGGTACAATACCTGGTGAAGTAAATTTAGAACTCTTTGACAATAATGAGCCTAAGCTAGAACCTCCTAGAAGAGTTCCTTTTGCGTTAATGAATACATTAAAAGATGAATTAAGCAGAATGGAAAAACAAGGCATAATAACTAAAGTAACAGAGCCTACTGAATGGGTAAATGGTATGGTCCTTATAAATAAGAAAGGAGCAGGTTTAAGGGTAGTTTTAGACCCTAGGAATTTAAATAAATTTTTGAAACGGTCCCAATGTCAAATTCCCACTTCTGAGGAAATAGCTAATAAGTTAAGTAATTCTAAAGTATACTCTGTACTTGATGCAAGTTCAGCTTTTTGGATGATCAAGATAAATGATAAAAGTAGTAAACTATGTACTTTTAATACCCCTTATGGGAGGTATAGATTCTTGCGTATGCCGTATGGGCTTAGCTGTGCTCCTGACATTTTTCAGTCCAAGATGTGTGAAATATTTGGTAACATTGACGGTGTGGTAACATATTTTGACGACATTTGTGTAAGTGGACCTGACCAGGAAACTCATGATGCTCGCTTGAAGCAAGTCATGGAATTAGCCAAAGCTAACGGGATTAAATTTAACATGGCCAAGTGTAAATTTTGTGTCAATAAAGTTAAGTTTGTTGGCCATGAGTACTCTCAATGTGGGATGTCCCCAGATCCTTCCAAGGTAGCTGCGATTCAAAAGATGCAGCCTCCGGTTGATCGTAAAGAATTGGAAAGATTTCTTGGTGTAACAAATTATTTGTCTAAGTTCATTCCGAACTACTCAACAGTCTCAAGTCCTTTAAGGGAACTTTTGCGAAAAGATGTTCTGTTTCAATGGGATTTTCCCCAAGAAAATGCTTTCAAGAGGCTGAAGGAGCTCTTGGTAAGTCCACCTGTATTATCATATTTTGATCCTAAGAAAGATGTAGTTTTATCGGTTGACAGTAGTTCAACTGGTGTAGGAGCTGTGCTGTTATGTGATAATAGGCCTGTAGCTTATGCTTCAAGAGCGTTAACGCCTAGTCAAATGAATTATAGTCAGATAGAGAAAGAAATGAATGCCATTCATTTTGGTTGTGTTCGCTTCCACCAATATATATTTGGTAGAAAGGTTACCGTAGAGACAGATCATAAACCACTTATCACTTTGTTTAAGAAACCTTTGTCCAGTGCCCCTGTAAGGTTACAAAATATGTTGCTTAAAGTACAACGGTATGATCTCAATGTTTTGTACAAACCAGGCTAGTTTTTGTATATTGCCGATACTTTATCAAGGTCATCATTGCCTGTAACTTCTTTTGAAGAAATTGATAGAATGGAGGAAGATGTAATTTGTCAAGTTAATCTTTTTAAAAGTACTTTTTTGTGTGTGTCTAAAGAAAAATTGGCCTTGCTTAAAGAAGAAACTGACAATGACTGTACACTTGTTAGCGTTAGAAACTTAATCAAAGTTGGTTGGCCTAAAAATAAAAATGACCTTGAAAACAGTGTAAAACCGTACTGGAATGTAAGAGAAAATTTACATGTAGTCGACGGTTTGTTGTTTAAAAATGATTGCGTTGTAGTTCCTCGTAGCCTACAGAGAGAAATGTTAGTTAAACTACATGAAGGCCATGTTGGCGCAATAACCTGTGAAGTAAGAGCAAAACATGTTTTGTATTGGCCTAGTATTAAATCAGACATTAAGGAAATGGTAAATAATTGTCTTACGTGTGCTATGCACTCGCCTAGTAACTCTAAAGAGCCGATCTTGTTTCATGATATTCCTAGCCTACCATGGTCTAAGGTTTCTGTTGATTTGTTTGAATTTAAATCCATGCATTATGTTATAGTTATGGATTACTACTCTAAGTATATCGAACTTGTTTCTTTGTCAGAACTAAGCTCTAAAGCTGTTATTAACAAACTCAAGTCTATCTTTGCCAGACACGGTATTCCACAAACTCTTGTAAGCGATCCGGGAACTCGGTTTAATTGTAAGGAATTTCAGTCCTTTGTTTATAGCTATGAATTCAATCATGTAATGACCTCACCTAAGCACTCACAATCAAATGGTCAAGTCGAGTCGGGAGTCAAAATAGCTAAGGGTATATTGAAAAAATGTGAGTTCTCAAACACTGATCCTTACATAGCCTTACTTAACTATAGGAATACGCCTAAAGGTAATTTACCGTCACCAGCTCAGTTGTTGTTCTCAAGAAACTTAAGATCTCTGTTACCAAGTGCAACTAAGTTGTTAGAGCCGAAAGTAACAAAATCTAATCCTGTGCTTGTAAATAAAAGGAAATGTTCTGTTCAGAAGTATTACAATTCTAATGTAAAACAACTAAGTGAGCTAAATGTAAATGACAATGTGTTATTTAAGAAAAATCCAGTTGTTTCTAGTTGGTCTAAGGGAAAAATAGTTTCGAAGGACGAAGTACCCCGATCTTATATAGTAAAAGATGAAAATGGAC